CGGGGACTGCTCAGCCCGTGTGCGTGAGACGGCGGCTTTCTCCAGAACTGCACAGTTATAGGCATCAGCCTCAAAATGCTTAGGAAATGACAGCCAGGCTCACCGGCCACCGCCAGACCGTGGCCACCACCAGACCGTGGCCACTGCCCCCCCTTTCACGGTGCACTTCAGGGCTCACTTTGGAGGGGTGCGAAGGTGTGATGCTCACCTCCAGGGCAGTGCTTCCTCATGCGGCACCTCCTCGTCTCCAGCAGTGCAGGGCAGATGGTCCCCTCCTCCTTGGTGGCCCCTGTCACCTCCCGGACCCGCGTCTCCAAACCCCACTTGCAGCCGCAGGCAGTGCAGGCGCTCCACTCGCTCCACGGCCCCGGCTCGCACATCTCTGCAGGGGACAGGGGTGCAAAATGGGGACGGTGACCACGCAGCACCAGGCATGTCCCCAGGCACCATGGGCACGGGGTACGGGTGCTGCTTACCTTGGCACTCCCGGGTGCCGGGCTGCACCGCGGTGCTGGGGGGGCACTGCCGAAAGCACTGGCCCTTGTGCAAGTAAAACTTGTCTTTGCACTTCATGCAGAAGTCTCTGCTGAAGCAGCTCTCGCAGCTGGGCGACCTGCACTCTGCCGGGAAGGAGGGCTGGTCAGCTGGGCGAGCCCAAGGACCGGCACGCGGCGAGCCCGGAGCCGGCAGCCCCAGTATCCACCAGGGACCCAAAGCCTTTGGCAAACCTGCAGGGTCCGGGCTGCAGCTCTGGGCAGGGGAAAAGGGGAGGAAGCCCCGTGGCCTGGATGCCCCCCGGCTCTCGCCACTGCCCCTGGCTCCGTACCGCTGTGGGAAATGCAGGTGAGGGGACACAGGGGCACTGGGAGGAGTGGGGGGCCCCTGGCTGGCACGGGACGTACTTGTGCATCTGTTGACCTCCAGCCCCCGCACGCCGAAGTAGCCGGGGGGGCAAGTGTGGACGCACATCCCATACTGGCGGATGCCGTCCCTCCAGATGAGCAGGAAGAGCCGATGGTGGCAAGTGATGCAGCCGTTGTCCTCCGAGCACAGGACGCAGCCCGTGCAGTTCTCCAGCAGGCCAGCGCTCGCTGCGGGGACAAACAGAGCAGAGGGGCTGTGGCACGGCTGCGGCACACGTTCACGGCACAGCCAAGGCACCGGGGAGGGTTCCAGCCCTGTGGCAGCCCCTCTCTGACCTGCGGGGGTCACAGCACCGTCCTGTCTCCCTGCAAACGCCTCCCCACCTCCCTCCGCTCCCCAAATCCCCCCCCTCTGCCTGGGTGGGCAGCGCGGGGACATGCAGAGTCATCGCTCCCCACTGCACTCAGCTCGGGCATCACCACCTCCATCACCCCAAGGTCCAGGGCTGAGGGTTCGCCCCATGCCCAGCTCTGCCTGAGGGTGCCAGCCTGAGCCCTGTCCCTTATGCCAGCTGTGCCCATCCCGTGGGAAGCATCCTAAGCTCGGTTAGTGAGTAGAAATATGCTCTGACCCGGATTAATTCGTTGGTGCCTGTTAAATGTCAGGAGACAAAGAGCATTTTGGAAATGATCAAGAGGAGCAGAGGCAATGATCGGTCTGGTTGCTCAAGAGCCCTTGTCACCTCCCTGGCTGCCTCTGCTGTGCTCCTGACCTGCATGACAGTGGCCGGCCCCAAGGTGGGCTCTGCTCCCCGGGACAAGGATGGGTTGCCAGCCCCCACCAGCCCACAGCCCCCAGAATGGCCCACGGAGACCCTGCCAACCACTCCTCCTCCCCGAGCCATCTCCCTGTGACCAGAGAAATGAAGCCCAAAGAGATGCTCCCCGCACTGGGGCCCTTCAGGAGCTCAGTAGCCGAGGGGGTACCCGCTCTTGGTGGGGTTTTTGCACCCCAAGACTGGCTGGGCATCTCCATAAGGGGCCACCAAGCTCCTGCGTGCAGGCGGACGATGCCTCTGCTGTGCCCGCCTGCCTCGGGAAGCACTTGCTCGGCTCTGGCACCGCAGGCTCCCCCGAGCATCCCTGAGCAAAGGCTCGTGTTGTGCAGCGGTGACAGTGCCAGCAGCGCCGGCGCTGCGTACTCGGGGCCCAGACTCCATCTGCCAGCAGATCTTCGAGCATTAAGATGTTTTTTTTGCACGTAGCAAAGGCCTAAGGAGGCGGCTGACCTGGACGGAGCCCAGCGCCTGCGGTTGGGACAGGCGGGGGCTGATGCGGACCCCCCGGCTTCGAGCCCTGGCAGGCGCCGGGAAGGACCTACCCTGGAGCAGCTCCGGCCCCTGCAGAGCCGAGCGGGCGAGGGGGAGCCAGACGAGCCGCTGCGCTGGGTGCTGCCCAGCACGGACACGGGATTCAGCCCCGGGAGCGATGCCTGGCACTGATCCTCTCTGACCCTCAGGAGCTGACAGCAAAAGGGCCCCATGGCTGCAGTGACCGGGACAGAGGGACTGGTGGAAAGCAGAGGTCGGTGTTGGGGAAGCCGGGGGAGATGCTGGCAGATGATGCCTCGCAGCCTTGTGTGCCGATCCCTGGCACAACTTTCCCCGCTGCAAACCAATCCCTGGTGCAGTGGTCCCCCGTTGGCTCATCCCGGTCCCTTTGTCCGGGCACAGGAGCTTGGAGGGCAGTGTGGTACGGCATGGCTGGGAGGCTTCGTTAGGGCTGCATCTGCTGGGAGCGCGCTAACGAAGCACCTTGGATCCATTAAGTTGTTATGGTCTCCGTTACATATTTACCAAATGCTGACAACATTTGTGTTCCTGGCTGCAGCTGGGACGGCTTCCCTGGAGACCCAGGGATTTACAAGCCTCTTTCCCTGATTCTTTTTGATGGCTTTTTTTTTTTTTTTTGTTTGTTTTCCGCTCTCCCTCCAACCCCCATCTCTGGCGGAGAGGTGGGGAGTCCCGCGCAGGCTGCAGGGCTTCGTTCCTCTCACCGGCTTCAAAAATAGCCTCATGGTGTGGAGCCGAGGGAAGGCTCGACCAGCCAGGTCCCGCTCCTCTGCTGTGAGAGCTTCGGAGCTGCCGGCATGGCACACGCCTCTGCTGCCGGCAGCAATGCCGGGGAGCTGCCGCGGAGCCGATGGAGGGCTGTGCCGCTCAACGGGACGTGGGTCACACCGAAACTGTGGGACCGGGGAAATTAGGGACACCTGGTGGGTTCACCTCCCCCCCGGCCGGGGGTGATTGCAGACCTGGGGCGCGGGGCTGAGCTGAGACGGGCACTGGGCAGGGGGCACACGGAGCACCGGGGTGCCCGGGTGGGCGCTCCCTGCTTGGGCTGTGCTGGATGACAAGCATGGCATCACCCACCGCTGCCCGCCCTGAGCCCAGCTCTGTCGCCATGGGGTCTGCAGGCACCGGGAGGCTCCTGGGCACTGGGCTGCCCACACCGTCCCTCCAAGGCAGCAGAGCATGGCTGGAGGCAGCTCCTGGCAGCAGTGGGGTGGCTGTGGGGTGCTGCAGCATCCCTCTTGGCTCCTTGCCCCCAGAGACTGTGCTGGCTCTTCTGCCAGGACCTGAGGGCCCCATGCATCCCGTAGCACCGGGTCGCTCCACATTGAATGCCAGCAGCCGTAGAGTTGACCCCATGGTCCCCTGAGCCCCTCTCGGTGACGGGTCATTCCCGATCAGGGGTGTTTCGGCTGCCAGCCTGGCCACCCACATCATCACGCGCACCCGCTGACTCCCTACATCTTTAACATGCAACAGCCACAGGGAAAGCTGCCCGGGCTCCAGCCTGGACCCCCAAAGAGCCCCGATCCCGGCAGGTCCTGTCCCTACCCCAGCACACACCAGTTCCAAAACGGACCTGCTCCTGGCGCAGAGCTGAGCATCAGCCCTGGCCCCACTCCTTGTGGCTGGGTGGCACTGCCCAGCACTGCCTGGCACGGGGACACGAGCCGGTGCCCAACGGAGGGATGCACGTACCTCGGCACAGCCCCGGCACACACCCTGCCCTCTGCCCTGGCACCAAGCAGCGGTTCGGCTGGTGCCTCTGCTCAGGGGAAGGACAGAGCAGGGGGACAGGCAGTGGCTCTGAGCATCCTTCCAGGAGGTTTTACTCCCCACCACACGCTTAATGAGTTAAGCAGAGAAGGGAAATATTGGAAAATCAGCCCATTCTGGGCTATCCCCACTGTGCCCAGCTCTCCTGGTGTTTGCAAAGCTGGTCCCCATGCCAGCCAGCATCCTCCTGTCCCCTGCCAGCCCCGAGGGCAGGGCTGGCGTCGGGCAGGCAATGCCATAGGGCTGGGCATTGCCTTCTCCACGCACCTACCCTGAGCCAGCCCCATGCCATGCACTGAGAGGGGAACACAGCCAGTATTCAACAGGGACCGAGAGACTGGGTCGGGAGGATGCTGGTTCCCCCCTCTCCTTCCAGCCCGGGGTGTAGATCAGCCCCGTTTCACACCTCCTGCCCGCTCCACGCAAGCAGTGCCGGCGGCTCCGTCGCTGGCAGGGGGGGCAGGAACCGGCAGCCCCACGTCCCCAAGCTGCCCCATGGTACCTGAGCGGGACGAGCCGGCCGAGCGCACCATACCTTGCTTCTTCCATCGGTTCTGCGTGAGCATTTCCATG